ACATAACCAAGAGTGACTTGTTAGCTTGTCCGTTTGTCACTTGAAAAGAAACGTTGCCTACTTTTGTAACAGTGCCACCATGGCCTTGATTAGCAATAGTATTAAATTGCTTGGCTATTTCTATGGCAGCAACACACTCAAAACAGAAATGCAAATGTAGTCTAGACCGGAGAAAAGTGACACATATAAATAGGAAATTGAATAAATTGACAGTTTCCATATTTTAGAGACCCCCCCAAAAGTTTGCAAATGGTCTCTTCAGGGGAGCTCGTGCCTTATTCAGGTGAGCTAAGCTCCCCCTAGCTCCCCGGTAGTTCGCACCATGTCTACAACCCAAGAGCAGTTAAGGAGCTGGCTGTGTCAAAGCTCTGCAATGGAGTGGAAGAGATGGGCTGCAGCTTCTCTAGTCTAGAAGGTTTTTAAACCAGGGGAGGCCAGTCTTGGTCCTGGAAGGTCAGTGGTCCAAAGTTTCAGTCCATCTCAGAGGATTATTTAATAATTAAGAATTGCCCATTGATCTTGTTACACCCAAATGGTTGTGTGAACTGTTACATAAATTACAAAATTAATTAGAAAGGCAATCATTTAGAAGTGCAGCAGAAGCACACAGTTGACAATGAAGTAAAAGCCTTTCTGAAAAGAAGGGATTCAAGTCTAGAGTGCTTGAGCTTGAGAGGCATCTAGAAGAGTTGGGTGGACGAAGGTCATGAGCTGGAGAGCAGACAGATAATACATTAGGTGCTAATCCATGTACAGTAGGACCTTATAGGAATAATACACAACTACTGGGTGTTTGCAGAAATATATCAAACACAAAGTCTCGTTTCAGTTTAATTCTCAAACTCAAGAGGAGGAACAATGGAAATGTAACGAAGCGTTCTTTCAGGACCCTATGCAGGTGACACAATCTGGGAATGAGTGGGGAAAACACGGGGAAAAAGCATGCAGGATACGGGGATGAAAACAGGGGGCGTGTCCTGGGTGCGCTGGTGTTCGGGGGAGGTGTGGCCGAGGCAAACAATCCAGGAAGAACTCCAAGGGAGAATCCAAAAGGAGGCAAATCCTCCATCCTAGACAGACGATTAAAAACAGGAAACAGGTATGGGAACGGGAGTGGGAACCAAAACCTTAACGGGACCAGGCACTTCCAGGTCCCGGACTCGCCTGGTACGGAAACCAAAGCAGAGCCCGGAATAGAGTGAGCGCCTGGCTTTTAAGGAGAACTGAAAAGGGGGCTGGAACAGGGAGCAGGTGCGGTGGATGAGTAGAAAACAAGGAAGGACTGGAGCGTCCTTAAGAGGAGGGGTTTACGAACGTGACAGGAAATGCCCTTTTTGCTTTCTGTGTAGAACAATGGGTAGAATTTTTCAGTGAAATTTACATTGGCAGTGTAAATGAGATTGAGAGTCTCCGCATTGTAAAATGACAGCTGCCCTTCCTCACAGTCTACATAGACCCCTACTCTCTGAGGAAGCAGATCCTGAGATAATGGTGTTTGGGGGTCAGTAATGACATTAAACCTGGTTTTATGCCGCAGCTCCACTGTCCAGGCCCCGTTCTCAGGTCTAAGGTATGTATTTCTAGGAGCAGATCCCCTGAAGATGCCCACACCACCTCCACCTCTCAGTAGTGTCTCCCTGAGATGAATCCCACTTTACCCAAGACACCCTTATTGTCAGTAAACCTAGTAGATGCAGGGGACTGAGGCACATCAGACAAGACTGCACATTTCCCATCATTGGAGATGTTCAGGCTGACGTGGGCTGTATCAGGGTCCAGGACTACATCAGCTGGAAAGACAGAGAATGACAGTAAGGAAAGAGATCTACGCCTAAACACAGAAACTACCTATTAAAGAAAACTTGTTAAATTTAACGCATACAAAGAAAAAAAAGAAAAAATGTCAGAATTTCTTATATACGTATTTGGATACATAGATACTAGAAAGGAATACTAAAACACACATAACATGTTGGCAGTTCCTACAATAATAATTCCCTGCATTTATTCTGTGCTCTTGGTTCTCCAGGGAATCCATAGTGCTTCCCACCTGGATGGCACACAGTCTGCATCATGCATCAACAAATTGGGGGACGGATGGAGAAACTGCCTCACTAGTTAAGCTCAGGGGAAACTTGAGACAGTTGAGACAGTTGGGTAATTCATAAATAAGTTCAGTGTTGGCATAAATCTCTTCCATGTTTAACGTTTAGCTTCTGATGGCACAGACTGTGTCCACTGTGTCCACTGCAGTGCAGGACATATAGGTTGCCTCTGCAAGAAGCTCAGCTGAGCCTGAATTTATAAGGAAATAATATATATATATATTTATAAGGAAATAGACTCGTTTGGTCTTTGCTCTAGAGACTTTAAATAGCCTGTGCACTGAAGTTGTGGTCTCACCTCGGGTTCAGTTCTTCCTCAGTTCTTCTGTTGACGAAATAATTCCCTGTCTTCGTTGCAGTGATGCTAGTCGTGTCCTTTCGTTGGTAACTATTCTTATCATTTTTAAAAAAGAAACAAAATGTACGAAAAAAAAAGAGAGAAGAAAAACAAAACAAACAACAGCACCCAGATCAAAGAGAGTAAAAACTCTCAAAAATCATGTTCCGACCCCAGGTCTCTACGATAACAAAATTAAAGTTTTCCTGAACAGAACAGCCCCTGGTGTTACATCCTGGTGAGAGCCAAAGCTTGCAGCCCTCGGTCTCCATGGAAATCAACCTCATTCGCACATGGAGTGAACCTTGGACTGAATGTCCCAGCCACCTGCACCTGCTTAACAGGTTAATATCTCCATTTAGTCCAAGATATTTAAACCTTGATAAGCCTATGGTCTGGTGCTCCGTCATTGAGAAACCTTCTTCCTATGGAAGAGGTCACAGCACAACAAGAGGTGCTGTAACGACGAACTAGGCAAGTAAGAAGGATTCTGTGGGGAGCTGAGTTTGTTAAGAGAATAAACAATCCTAAACGTAAGACAAAGTCGAGGTCAAAGAGATATCCAAAGTCCAAAATCCAAAAGATCTAGCTGCAGGAGATGAGAGAACAAAAGGCGAGGTAGGAGTTGGTGATGAGTTGATGGAGAACAGCAGGAGATGATTAGTCCCCCCAGCCTAGCACTGGACCAGTGGCATTGTGCCAAACCTCCTGCCCTCAGGCCTTGCTTGGCAGCTCACTGTCCCTGTCTGCAGCACACCTTTAGTTTCGGATCAGCCTATTAGCAATCCTGCTCGGCAATCTTTGCCAGCCCTTGTAACCCCTCAGACCTTCACTGGGATCAAGCCCTTGTACTCCTCAGCCTGTCCTGCAGGACCACTTCATTCCATCCACCTGCCACACGTCATAACACAAGGTCAGCTGATAATGTCTATTAAAAAGAAATAAAATAGAATCTTGTATTGTGTTTTTGTGACACCCAGCAGATTTTGGAATCACCATTTGTGGGTTCTCCACTTCCTGGGCTTGCAGGAATAAACCAAACAACTGTGCACAGGGGGAATGAGAAAGTGATGAAAGACTCCTCCAGCACCGACTACCTTTGAGCAAGTCTTTTGGTTGGTTCTTGAGCAAGTCTTTTGTTCTCCCATGCTTCATCAACCACCGGTTTCCCACTTTCCCTCACACCTGAAGGAGGCTCGGCAGCCAAAAACATTGTGTCTCTTTTCTTTTCCTTTCTTCATGGAATAAACCTTTACCTGTTCTTTTACAGCCTACATGTGCTAACACAGCTATTAACTTGTACCTTTGAGCATCCTGCCTTTTATGAAGCTACAGTGGAAACAGCCTTGTATTGGTGATTCAGAGCGAATTGAAGGAGATTTGCTATGCTGCACAGACCTCTGGCAGACTCATCCTTCCCTCTGTTGAGGAATCTCAGTCACAGTCTGCCCAGGCTTGACATTGACACGACTCAGGCTTGAACCTGAGACAAAGAGATCCACATTGTCACGGTTGTCATCCCTCCTCTAGAGGGAGCTCTGACCATTTTGTATTTTAGTTTCATCATTATGTGCACCTGTTCCTGTCACTAGTTAAGTTTGGCATCTCCGAGCTTCAGGGCTCGGTATTGGAAGATGGACGCCACAAGGCCTGCCTATCCCCCAGGCTCGTAGATAGCCCGAAGGCAGGGCTTATTCCCCAGCGTCCTGACCATCTGGGTCTGGGGCTCGGAGCACCCGGCCTCATTATGATTTTACTTCCATGTTCCTGATTCCTCGTCCCCATTCCTGTGTCTGTTTGGATGGATCTCCCAGCTGTGGACTTTTGACTGCTACCAGGTTTCCCCTTCCGGATTGTTTTGGACTTGTTCACCTGCGCCTGGCCCCCTGAGCACCGGAACACTGCCATCATGCCCCCCTGTCAGTCACCCAGTCCTGATCCAGTCGTGTTTCCCTGTTGCCCTTCTCCAGTCTCTTCCGGATTTTACCGTCTGGAGGGGTAAACAAACAAACAAACAAACAAACACCCGTATCCCTGCTGCATCTTTTAGAGAAGTATCTGCAGGTATTTAGAATATTTTTCTAATGGGTTCTGGCTGTCCAAACACTTCACCTGGGTTTGATTCCTGGGCATCCTGTAACTTGTGGCACTACAACACAATTAAACAAGGAGCCTTAATTCATTTCCAGTATGTAATCACATTTTGTGTTTTGTTGTAAATGTTTGATTTTGAGAAATGCAGTAATTCAATGTTTGTTTGAAGGTTTACATAAGAGCTGAACTCTCCTCCAAGAGAGGAAGACATCCTCACCAATCTTCATTCTGTATAGTGAAACTCACACAACTAGAGAAGATGTGTATTTTTTGCCTTATGTAACTAATAGTCTAAACTTTGTAGCTCCCAGGCATTAATGAATCAAATCTATGATAAATTGTCTAGTCATGTCATGCTGTCTTTAAAGCAACCACCTGTTGTTCTTGACTTGGGTCATGCTGTACCTATTTAAAATACACATAAAGAACATACAAATTGGCCAATTGAATATCCAGACATTTATATTTTTACTTTTCATATAAACAGCTCTTGTTTTCCACAAATATGTGGATACAAAATCAAACAAAAAAATTATCAGGCTATGATAAACAAAGCTTCCTCTATTCTTAAGAATTCTCTATTCTCAGGCAAAAGGAATTTATTTAGGGTATTAAAAGTATACAAAAAGAGGAATAGAAAAGGGCATTTGTAAAAGACAGTGTTTGAGCAACAGTTCGTCTTGAATTCCACTGGGGTTCATGCAAGTGTTAGCAGAGCTAAGCAGTACAAGCAGCTCTATAAAGGATGAAGTTACAAATTTGGACCCGGACACTGAGCATTTTGACAGAAACTGACTTATTTATGTTCCTGGGAAACTTCCATCAGCTGTTTAATTTCAAGACGAACTGTTGCTCAAACACTGATTCCACAGACCTGGACAAACCACAAAGCCAAAATATTGTTCTCAACACTAATCTTGGTGACCCTCACACTTTCTGTTTTTTTTTTGTTACTTGGACAAATGCTTGCAAAAGTGGCAACCAAGCAACTCATTCATTTAATTTGATTAGATTTATCGTGTAAAGAGCTTGACTAGAAAGTTAAACAGGATTCAGGATTTGTCTGCATTGTCACAAGCTACTGTACAAAAGAATTATTAATCACAGCAGCAACCAGCTTATGAAATTGGTTTCTGCATTCTTTCATTTGGAGAGAATTGAGAGCAGCTTCTCCAGCTCCAGATGTGCACCGGTAAAACCTTGTGTGAGAAGAACGTTGTTTCATATCCAGATTTATGTCTTATTCTCTTTGGGAACAACAACGAAAAGGCCTTCGGTGTCCGCAGTGCAAAAGAGTGGGTAGTATTTCTCTGTGAAATGTACCTTGAAATTGTGAATGACATACAGAGTCTCTGTGTTATAAAATGACAGCTGCTGTTCCTCACAGTTTACGTAGAAGCCCACTCTCTTGGAATACAGAGTTAAAGGTAATGTGGTTCTGACAGAGTCAGAAAGTGCACTGAACTCACTTCCGTTCCACAATTGCACAGCCCATACAGCATTCTTGTGACTCAAGGGCTGTCTCCTATCTGCAGATCCCCTGAAGATGCCAGCTACCCAGTACAGATTATCTCTCACCTCCACCTCCCAGTAGTGTCTCCCTGACATTAACCCCTCTGTGCCCAAGACACAGGGGGGAGCAGTAAACCTTAAATGGTTTCTTTCTTTTTCAGACACATCAGACATTGCGACATGTTTCCCTTCATCAGAAACTTCAATCCTGTTGTCCTTCAATGTAGGGTCCAGTATTACATCAGCTGTGAGGGGAGAAAATAGAACTCTTATTGACCTGAACAGGGGATCATTACAAATAACATTCTAAGGGTGAAATTCAAGAAAGAATAAAAATAGTTGAACATAAGAAAAAAAGCCTGCTTTTTCGGTAGCTACAGTATGTAATTTTAATTAAGTTGTTGTTTTCAGTAAAATACTTTTTCAGTGGGTATTAATCAGCCATTTTAAGCAGTTGATTGACAATGGACTGCTCTCGATCTCATCAGCTAATTAGCAGTATTATTCGGTGCAAAATTGTAGATTTCTTGGTGAAAATGTACTGTTTAACTGGAGAAGCCATAGGGTGGTGTAACACCATTGTCATATCAGACAAATGTGCCAGTTTGTTCTTTAGTGTAATAAAACTTGTACTGTGTTTTTTTTTACTCATATAATCAACATTAGGTCCACCCAGATCTAAGAAAGTGATGCCTCTGTAGTGCAATAAATGTTGTTTACAAGGGCAATGAGAAAGTAGGAAGCCCCTTCTTAAAAAAGCGTTGGAGTTAATGAAGCATTTGGAAAAACCTGTGTGATCACTGGGTGCCCTCTTTGAATACACCCTTCCATTTTCCGAATGCCGGCCCATTGCAGGGTTCACAAACACACATTTTAAAAACACCATTCAACTAGCCAGCAATGCTTTGAGAAGTGGGAGAGACCTGGGAAGAAGTTGCAGACTCCACACAGGAGCTGTCCTGCTCCTGACTGCAAAGACTTTTTCTAAACGTCTGTTGATGTTAATTGTGAATACCTGTTGCTCCTCGGATCCACTTCAACACTAGAAAAAGCAAAACAAGAAATGTTAATTACTTTCGGCATTATGGTAACTCTAAAATTGAATTGAATTCCAGTTACTTTTAGTTTCTGCAAGCATGTGCACGAGTGATAATCTTGTTCTATTTCTTTATTATAGAGAAATATATGATTCTTTATAATACAGAAAGAAGACAGAGACCAGGAAGTGGTTGTTATCAGAAGGGTCACAGTTTTAGCAGTGACTACAGAGGGATTTATTACCTGCTCTTGGTATTTTCTTTTCTTTCTCTGTGAAGAACAAAAACATGTTTGAAAAAACATTCTTACTTCTCTACATTCCTACTTCTATACTTCCCTCCACCCCTCTTTCCATACCTCCCTATCTCTCCCAGTGACTAATTTCATCCCTCCCTACTTCAATTCCTCCTTACATCCCTACTTCTATAACCCCATCCCTCCCTCCCTACCTCCATACCTTCCTCCACCATACCTCCATATAACCCCATATCCCTCCCTCCATCCCTTCCTACATCCCTACTTCCGTACCTCCATATCCCTCCATCTTCCCTACTCCTCCTCTTCCCCCATCTCTCTATCCCTACATCCCTCCACCTCTATCTCCACTTATCCCCACCAGAATACCTCCAACCGTCCCTGGCTCCATACCTCGCTCTATCCACACTTTCCTTGTTCCCTTAATCCCTACATCCTTGCATGAGGAAAATAATAAGAAAACCATTGTGACTTACTTGACATCTCAGCAAGTGTGGAACAAGCTACATAAAGGAAAAGAAACAAAGTGATTGGTGACAGCACTGTACTATCATTGCCAGACTTGCCTGAATTCGCTAGGAACTTCAATTACTTTCTTCTAAACAAAGCTAAAATAATTCGGCATCAATAATTTTCTGTCATAAAATCATTCCTTATTCACAAAGTGTCACGAACACGGACTGAAATCCGTGTCAGATCTTGTAGAAGACCCTATGCGATGCGGTAAGAGCTGGAGAAAACAGCAGGCGTGGTAAAAAGGAACACACAGGGGTTTAATAGTGCACAAAATAATAGTGACAGTCCGTGAGACAGTGTACGGGGAAGACAAAACGGCATCCAAATCCAAACGGGTCCAAGGGCAAGTCAAAGCACAGTCTGAGAGTCCATCAGCGAGAAATCCATCCTGAGATGCTACAAAGTTAAAATCCCCGGGAGGGGGGAGCACACGGACAAACGAAACATGGAGGTCCAAGGGTGACGGGGCGAGATCCTCCAGACCCTGGGCTCAGGAAGCGGGAGGTGTCGGGGGGGAGGCCTATGCCCTCAGGAGACGGACGTAGGGTTTCCTGGTGCTAGGCGGGCCTCGCGACATCTTACCCTGATGATGAGCCCTGAGGACTGGAGGAGCTGGTCTTTAAATAATAACACTAAAAGGGTACACCTGGAGAGCTTAATCACACAAACAATAATGGGAGCAGTCTAACGCCCTCTAGGGAGGGGTCTCGGGCGTGACACAAAGGTGAAAATTCATGCTGAATGATGATACGTCTTTGAATCGAAGAAACTGTATGTTGTGTGTGAGCCAAAAACTTTGCAAACAAGAGGCAGTCATTCAGATGGTTTTGCACATTTGGTAGCTTAGTACCTACTGTAAGTCTCATCCAAGTCATTTGCTAAAGATGTCCAGAGTTGGGGCCCCAACCACTTGGTTGGAAAGTCTGTCCCAGACACCCACCAGCATTGGAGTAAACAAGTGTTTCCTATTCTCTTTTCTACATGAACTCCCCTTATGTTTCCAGCTGTTACTCTGTCACATTAGAACATCCATCCAGCCATTTCTATTATCCAGAACACAGTCGCAGGGGAGCCAGAGTCCATCCCAGTAAGCAGCAGGCACAGTGAGATACAGTACATCTTTTACAGGATGCATTGCATGTCCATTGCAGGGCTGACACACAGACCCATACAAACATGGGGAGAACATGAAAACTCCATGCAGGTAGCATCCCAGGTCCGGAATTGAACTCAGGACTCCAGAGATGCACAGCAGCAAGGCAAACCACTGTGCCACTGTGCCACCCTTCATAAGAACATGTTCTTATTTAACTTGATTATTATCACAAACTCTGGCTGTGAATTCACTCTTTGTGTTTATAATACATGTGTTATACTATATAAATATATAGTTTGTACCAAATAATATTAATGCAATGCATTACTTTGAGGTACAACTTGAGCTGTACAATGTTAAAATGAAGGAAAGAATTGAAATGTAAAGAGATACAGGAAATACTGTGAGCTGTGCACTGAATTACATGTATCTGTTTGCTTACAAGTTGTGAGGACAGCAGCAGTCTTGTGGTTTGTAAAACTGGAGTTTGAAACTGAAGCTATCGGTGTCATGTGCATCTGTGGTACAAGGACAGGAAAAGAAAAAAAGGAAGGAAATATGCTGCAGGTATTGTCGCGGATGCCGGAGGCTAGCCGTGGAGAGAGACCGGCGAGATAAGAAGACCCAGTGCAAAGCAGCAGGAACGGGGGTTTGCTCTGTGCTCAAGGTATCGGGCGGAGAGTCGGGGACGAGACATAACCCCTCACGTAGCGGACATGGGGCGACCTGGTGAGGCCTGCCTCTCGAAAGCTGATCCCGATCCCGAGTGAGGAGGACGCCACAGACGGGAAAAAAATAGCCACCTCCACCAGACACACCGGAAGCACAAGAACGGGCACAGGGAAGCAAGGAACTTGACAGAAAGGTGCAGCGCCCTCTAGGGGTAGGAAGAGGGTCGTGACAGGTGCAGTACTTACCAGATGTGTTTTTGCTGTTGCATTGATCCACCAGATTATAGCTCTGTATCGTGCTGCTGCAGTATTTCACAGATGTGTAAATATTGGACAAGACACTCGGCAGGTTCAAACAGCTCCGTTGAATGTCATCCAGCCTCTGCTGCAGTTCTAAGGAAGATAAAGCAGAGAAATGTTTTTGTTTTCCACAGCTGAAGTCAAAAATTGGACCCAGGAATGCAAACCACGTCCATTTAAGTTGTGGTGGTGATTTCAAAAAGCAGAATAAAGGCTAGGAGGTAGGACGGGACACGGCTATTGGCTTTGAACCTTCTGTGGTGAGCAGAACAGAAAATCACATTTTAGAGTTGTAGTGTCCAGAGGCAGAACGAACACTGCCTTGCTCTTTATTAACGCAAAAAAAACAAGATGGACAGCTATCCTGCCTGAATCTCTGGTACATAACACATGCTGTGAACACATCCATCCATTGTCCATTAGCACTTAGTCCAAAGGAGCAGTGACCTGGAGATAATTGCTGAGCAACCCACATAGCATGTAGAAGAAACCTGAGAACTAGCAGAAATCCTGATACAGCAGATCTGGAGCCTATCTTGAAGAGTCACAGTCTTTATCACAGTTTTTTTGTCTTCACAGGATCTGCAAGCTGCAATCTGTCATACATAAAACATACCTATTTTGGCTTTTTCAAAGGAGTAGATCTGAGTTTTGGTAGCTTGTGGTTGCTTGAAGAAATCTACAAAAGAAACAGAACATTAAACATTTTAAGAGGATTGCAACAGTAAATTAAATATACTTAATGAAAAAAGAAACACAGCATTTTCTGGAATGAGAATACTATAGTTAAGGTATGTACTTTCACAAAATGTTGTCAATTTGTTTAAAGCCCTCTGACCAGCTATACAGCATGTGCGATGAGGCATTGCAACTTGCCAATCACACGAAAGCTTTTAGGTGCACTTTTATCCAACGAGGTCCAGGTGGAACAATGCCTGATCAGGTCAGCTTTAAAAAGACCTTAATTTAAAGCTTAGGTCACTGCAAGAAAAAGGCCACACTTAGTCAGTTTTCTGTGCAGTCCATAATGCCTCGAATGTCACCAGAAGCAAGGGAGAGGGCCATTGGCATGCTGCAGGCAGGCACGTCATGTGCCAGCGCTGCCAGACACTATGGAGTAAGCCGCTCCACTGTGTCCCGACTGCAGAGAAGGTTTCAGCAGACTGGCAGGACAGATGATGGTCCAAGATCCGGTCGCCGTCGAGTGACCACACCAGAGCAGGACCAACACATCATCTGAGAGATCGTTTCAGATCTGCCACCCGTACTGCTGCTGAAACTGCTGGCAGACACAACGCCCATATCACTGATGGGACAGTTAGGCTCCATGCTGCTGGCTCCCTGCTCACACCTCCTAGACATCACACCTGACTGGCTGGGGCCAGACAGAGGCTGCGATGGACTTGTCAGCAGTGGCGTCAGGTCCTCTTCACGGATGAGTCTCTCTTTAGCCTGTTCCACGCAGACAGGAGGGCCAGAGTGTGGAGGAGGAGGTGTTCCGTTTCTTTTTTCCATCAGTATATACTGTATATAACATTCATGTCATGTACATTACTATTTGTTGGTTCCTTGATCCTTGATCACGGGAATTTGAGAATGAATTGTTAAAGCTGTCCACAAACATACTGTATAGGAATAAGGTAATAATTTATCCTAATTTTATTTTAAATATAATGCCTTTATTGATACTACAAAGTACAGTGGATGTTCCAAAAGCAAGAACGCATCTTCAGCAACATTCCAGACAAAAGATAATAATTACAAAGCCTAACACGGGTTGTCCGCAATAAAAGCGATTTAAAAGAAATCCCAAACTGATTGCAATCTTGAAGGTAACCCCGTGTGTATGTTCACAATACAGCATGCACTGAAAAGTCTGGGTGTTACGACCCTAAGTGTCTAGGGGTAAAGGGGTGTAACATTTAGGATACTTTTCGGAAGCAGGTGGGTTCTGGTGAGGGACTAGGAAGCGTGATAACAAGGGTTGGTGCAACAGTGATGATCTTAAGTTGAATAAGTGACTGATTTGTAATGGGTCACAATAACACACAGAGAGAGAGAACTAGAGTGGTGCCAGAGAAAAGAAAATAACAAACAAAATGGAGCTGGCTAAGAAAGTGAGGGAAAGCTGACCTGACTACAAAAGAAAACCCGAAACACACGGTCTTCGGCGTCTTCAACACCCTAGCTAACCTCCACTGACTACCCAAAACCATGCAAGACAAACGGCACTCACCCGTACTAAACTAGTGTGACTAATACAAGAATCAACTGTGCGTGCAAAATGTACCCAACAACCTGAACTAACTCTATACACAAAAGTTCACACAAAAAAATGAGTGAACTAAGAATACAAATGAGAGTAGACAAGTAACAGGGTACAAATGAACACAGAGGTTGATGATACAATAAGTTTGGGCAAGGTAATGGCA